TAGCCATTAGAAATGACAAATACAGACCATTTGCCTCAACGTGGATGGAACTGGAGGGTATTATGCTGAGTGAAGTAAGTCAATCAGAGAAGGAGGAACATTTTATGGTCTCACTCATTTGGGGAATATAAAAATTAGTGAAAGGGAATAAAGGGGAAGGAGAGAAAATGAGTGGGAAATATCAGGGAGGGAGACAAAACACGACAGACTCCTAACTCTGGGAAATGAACAAGGGGAAGGGGAGGTGGGAGAGGAGTTGTGTTGACTGGGTGACAGGCACTGAGGGGGGCACTTGACAGGATGAGCACTGGGTGTTATTATATATGTTGGCAAATCAAACTCCAATTAAAAATATACTAAAAAAATCAATTTGGAGACATTCTGCCCTACAGCTGGTACAGTTAATTCCTGGTGGCATAAATATAAGTGTGGTCTGACTCTGAGGCCTTTGTAGTAGTAACAAAGGAAAAGAACTCATGGTCTGAATTAAGGTCACTTTGTAATTTACAATTTTGTGCCTATATATCTACCTTTTACTTCATGTTGATTCAATCATTTATTCTTTTTAGTGCTATCCTCCACAACTCTCCCTCAAGTGTCCTTTCAACGTAAAAGTTGAAATCAGAGATTGTCTCCGTGTGTACATATGTGGAGATCATGCTTATTTTAAAGAAAATGTGTGTGAATATACACAGACACACAAACACAAGACACAACCACTATACTAAATGTTTTCTTAAAAGTAAAAATTAAGTTCTATAAATTCTATTCTTTTTTTACAAGATTTTATTTTTTTATTTTTATTTATTTATGATAGTCACACAGAGAGAGAGAGAGAGAGAGAGGCAGAGACACAGGCAGAGGGAGAGCCTGCTCCCTGCACTGGGAGCCTGATGTGGGATTCGATCCTGGGTCTCCAGGATCGCGCCCTGGGCCAAAGGCAGGCGCCAAACCGCTGCACCACCCAGGGATCCCTACAAGATTTTATTTAAAGTTATATTTAGTGTTCCACGCTGCCTTCAGAAAAAAGGAAAGAGCCTCAGGGAATTTAAATTTTTATCAATTACCTAACACAGCAGTCGGAGCTTACCTAACAGTCTTAGTATGCATAAATGGAGACTTACACTATCTACTCTTAATTTTCACGTAGCTCCTTTAATTTGTCAAATTCTATACTTAAAATATGCAGCTTATTGTGTGTTATTATACTCCAATGAGTTAACAAAATAGGAAAATATCTCTGGAGCAAGGCTAAGGGTCAGCTCTAGAGCACAGTTTCTTGACTATTCATGGCAGGTTTGCAAGAGAGCTCTTCTAACAGGGAAGGAAAGCAAGTGTTATATGGATGTAAGAACAGTTGGGTGAAACTCAAACAATTCACATAAGTTCATGTAATTTCTAAACAGAAGAATAACTTGCATATATAAATGTAGCAATAAGACCATAAACTCGCTGAGACAGAAGAGCACTATAGCCACACACAACAACATGGATGGGCCTTAGAAATACAATGTAGAGGTTCACACCTGACCACAGATCCCTGAGAACCCAACAGATATCAGAAATGCTTCCCAGAATATGATGTCATTTGATTGTAAATGTATTATTTATTAGGAGAAGAAAGGCAAGAGAAAGATATCTAAAAGTCAATCTCCTTACAAACTGCAGTCCCTGATGAATTGCTGAGACATGCAGAGCATGATTCTTCTCCAGGAACTCATGGCTGACTTAACGTTGATTCTTCATTAGAGACTCAAGACAATCTTACCTTGACAACTCAGACCTCTCAGGTCATTCTCAAGTTCAGGATACAGAAATTCCTTAGAAACTTACATTATCTCTACCCCCCTCCATCCACAAACTTGAAAGTACAGAATCAATCATTCCTCACAATCCCAGTATAGCTCATTCTACCCCCAGGTCCTGTTCCCATGCTATAATTTTTAAAAAGCATCTCTTTGAACCAAAAATGTCTCAAGATTTCTTCTTTATCAATGTGTTCAGCCACCCTGAATCAGTATGATATCCCATTTGACAAGGCCAACCTGTTATATAGCAAGAGCTAACTGACACAATAATAATCCAAGTGAACAGCCATGAGGCAATTAGAATGTGTGCTGCTTTTTTTTTTATTGGAGTTCAATTTGTCAACATATAGCATAACACCCAGTGTTCATCCCGTCAAGTGCCCCCCACAGTGCCCATCACCCCAACCCCTCGCCCACCTCCCTTTCCACTATCCCTTGTTTGTTTCCCAGAGTTAGTTGTCTCTCATGTTCTGTCACCCTCTGTGTGCTGCTTTTTATTTGTGGCATATGATCTGACAAATGAGGAGAGCAGTTGTGATCATTCTCTTATTCAAGCTTATTTCCCATGACTTTATGAACAAGTGAATATGTGGACTTCCTTCTGCATCACTTCAAGAACTTAAAGGACATGCATATTTGTGCAGAAGAACCAGTGACCCTGACCCACATGACCAGCAGGACATTCAGCTTTCCTGTGAAGCATCCTCTGATCCTGCAAGGGGAAGGGATTTCTGAGAAAGGAGGTATGAAATGGATGATACTGATACTGCTCATTCACAATCCCTTAGCATTTGTGACAAATATCAGGAAGAGGAAGTTATTTTGTGTAACAATAGAGAGAGTCATATTAGCAGGTAGAATTGAAAGTTTTCAAGTTGAAACATGAAGATAATGGTGAAAAAATACAGAAGACCCTAACTAACCCTTCATCTCAATGAATAAACCCCCTCCGTGTGGACACCAATGTTCCATGCTTCAATAAATAGATGCAGAGCATGAAATGTGGTGTAAAATAAGAGAAGAAAGAAGTATTTTGTGTAGTAGCAAAATGCGTGTTTTGAAATTTTGCTCTGTCATATTCATGATCAGCCTGACACTAAGAACATATAAAATCAATCCATTTATTCAAATTTGTCTTTCCATGTAGACTCAACTGGGAGAGATATACTTGCTAATCAGTTTGCAGTGGCTGTGGTGGACTTTCTGGACACTTAGCTGAGTCACAAAGTAAAAACAAAATAAGATTAAAATTGAGAGGGAGACAAACCAAAAGAGTCACTGAACTCTAGGAAACAAACTGAGGGTTGCTGGAGGGGATGTGGGTAGGGTAAAGGGATATTGGGTGATGGGCACTAAGGAGGGCACTTAATTTAATGAGCACTAGGTGTTGTATGTAACTGATGAATTACTAAGTCCTATCCCTGAAAATAAATAAATAAATAAATAAATAAATAAATAAATAAATAAATAAATGAGTGATTGTCAGACATTAAGCACTCATTAAGCTGCCCCGAGCCTTGAAGCGCCTCTTCAGAAAACCCTGGGTAACCTAGATACTAACACATGAATGACCCTGCTTTCCCCCTACAGTGCCCAAATTCTAATCATAAAGAATTCTCCAATAAAGTGTGAATCTGCAAACTCCTCAACACTCTGGCCATGGACCCTAATAAAGACAGATCCCTCAGTGATGCACTCTCTCCCCCTCAAAACGCCTCTTTTTGCCTCTGAGACATCCCTGTATGGCCATTGGGCATTCCATGAGCCCTCTGGGACCTGTGAGTAATAAACCTTCAAGGTTTTTCTTCTTTTTTTTCTTTTTTTCTTTAAATTCAATTGTAGTGTTCAATAATTTATCAGTTGGTAAATTATTGGGTAACACTCCATCTTTATATCTTCCTTATCCATTCAGCTGTCGATGGACATCTTGGCTCTTTCCACAGTTTGATTATTGTGGACATTGCTGTTATGAACATTGGGGTGCAGGTACACTTCGGGTCACTACATTTGTATCTTGGGGGTAAACACCTAGTACAGTAATTGCTAAGTTGTAGGGTAGCTCTAGTTTTAACCTCTCAAGGAACCTCCGTTACATTTTCCAGAGTGGCTATGCCAGCTTGCATTCCCACCAACAATGTAAGAGGGTTCCCCTTTCTCTGAAGCTTTGTCAACATTTGTTGTTTCCTGCCTTGCACAGTAAGATACCACCTTTATACCAGTCAGAATGGCTAAAGTTAACAAAACCTTATTTTTTTTAGAGTTCTTTGATGGGTGTTGCTGAGGTATTTCTTGCAGTCTAATACCAATCAAAAGTCTGGTGCAGCCTCACCAGAGGCTCTGGTGCATCTTTGGTAATATCTGCAAGCACATGGGTACAGGGGAGTGGCTGGGCTTTCCTAGCCTGATCATCCTTGCCAAGAGCCTGAGCCTTAAAGGGAATAAGGTTAGAGTCCACATTATCAGGAAGAGGAGAGAAAGTAGTGATGGGAAAAGATTGACAGACTCTAGATGAAAATGGGGGTTTTGTATTCTCCTCTACAGTAAAATTATGTGAAAGGCTTAGTAGCCAAGTGTAGGTTTTTTCATATGAAGAATACAGCTCATGATTATTCTTTTGGGAAATCTAGGGGAAATTATTTGGCATGATATAAGTCATTTGAAATGAAATTACTTTTAGGAAATCCATGTCCCATGTAAGTTACAGAAGTTTCCAGGCATTTGTGATCAAAGATTGGAGAAACCAGGGACAGCTGGGTGGCTCAGTGGTTAAGTGTCTGCCTTCAGCTCAGGATGTGATCCCAGAGTCCCAGGATCGAGTCCTGGGATTTGAGTCCCAAATTGGGCTCCCTGCATGGAGCCTGCTTCTCCCTCTGCCTATGTCTCTGCCTCTTTCTTTCTGTGTCTCTCATGAATAAATAAAATAAAATCTTTAAAAAAAGATTGGAGAAACCACTAGAGATGTATGAAGGTGGACAATGGAAAACCTGTCTATGTATCAGACAGAGCAGAAGGTTAATAATGTGAATTACTTAAATGTATAGAGAAGTTGAATTCAAACAAATGGAAATTCCAGGGTATAAATAGAAGAATCAGATTCTACAACCACGGCCTGGTCAAGAATGGCAATTCTTGACTTTGAGGCTGTGAGCCCTACAAACATAGGCATTTCTTCAGCCCCAAGATGACTGGCCCTTACATCACAGGAACCCCAGTGATTCTTTTCAGAGCCCTCTTTATATCTCTGTTCCTCAGGCTGTAGATGAAGGGGTTCAGCATGGGCGTGACCACTGTGTACATCACCGAGGCCACAACACTTGCATGGGAGCTTTGGGGCGCAGCAGAGCTAAGGTATACTCCTAAGCCTGTACAGTAAAATAAGGAGACAACTGAGAGGTGAGATGCACAGGTGGAAAATGCTTTATACTTACCCTGAATCGATGATATTCCACATATGGAGGAAACTATCTTAGAGTAAGAGAAAAGAATCCCAGGCAAGGGAGCCACACCCAAAAGCACAGTTGCAAAATACATCACCATGTCATTAAGAAATCTGTCAGAACAGGCATGCCCAATTACCTGATTGAGGTCACAGAAAAAATGGGGGATTTCCAGGCCTGCACAGAAGGACAGCTGTAACACCATTAAGCTCTGTAACAAGGAATTGAGAACACTGATGATCCAGGCCACCAGAACAAGCAGTACACAGAACCAGGGGTTCATGATGTCTGTGTAGTGCAGGGGGTGGCAGATGGCCACAAAGCGGTCATAGGCCATCATACTCAGGAGAAAATCGTCACATCCTGCAAAGAGTAGGAAAAAGTATATCTGTGTGATGCAGCCTGGGTAGGTTATGACTTTACTCCCAGTCTGAATGTTCTGGAGCATCTTGGGGACAGTAGTGGAGATGAAACAGATGTCTACAAAGGACAGGTTGGTGAGGAAGAAGTACATGGGGGTGTGGAGGTGGGAGTCAGAGCTGACAGCCAGGATGATGAGCAAGTTTCCAAACACAGTGATCAGGTACATGGAGAGGAAAAGCCCAAATATGAGGGGCTGCAGTTCTGATTCCCCTGAGAATCCCAGAAGAAGGAACTCTGAAATTCGTGTATCGTTGTCTGATTCCATGTGGTGGTGGTGACTACAAGGAAAGAAAAAGATAAGACAATAATTTTCAAGCAAACAGGCTTCATTTATATATTTATTTTTATTTTTGAGTTTTTATTTAAATTCCAGTTAGTTAACCTATAGTGTAATATTTGTTTAATGTGTGCAATATAGTGATTCAACAGTTTCCAACAGTACCTGGTGCTCATCACAAGTGCCTTCCTTACTCCTCATCACCTATTTCATCCATCTCCCCACCGCCTTCTCTCTGGTAACCATCAGTGTGTTCTCTGTAGTTAAGAGTCTGTTCTAGGTGCAAATCTCTTCTTTATTTTTTCCCCTTTTGCTCATTTGTGTTGTTTCTTAAATTTCACATATTAGTGAAATCATATGATATTTATCTTTCTGATTTATTTCACTTAGCATAATACTCTCTACCAGCATTTGTGTCACTGCAAATGGCAAGATTTCAATTTGTTTTATGAATGAGAAATTTACCATTGTGTATGTGTGTGTGTGTGTGTATGTGTATCTTTTTTATCCATTCATCTATTGATGGACACTTGTGTCCACAGTTTGGCTGTTGTAGATAATGCTACTAAAAACATTAGGGTGCATGTATCTCTTTGAATTAGTATTTCTGTATTTGTTGGGTAAATACCTAGTGGTGCAATTGCTGGGTCATAGGGCAGTTATATTTTTAATTTTTTGAGGAACCTCCATACTGTTTAGCAGAGTGGCTCCATCAGTTTGCATTCCCACTAAGGAAAGGATTAAGGTACAGGCAGAGAGAGATGGGATGCCTCTGAATTCCCTGACTAGGCTCATGCTGGGGGCTACTTAACTAGGCTCACAGAAATCCCAGATGTGGAGAAATGTTATAGATAAGATATTAACCAGAAAGAAGGGAATGTAAGAAATCCACCTTGTTTGTCCTAAATATAGACAAGATATTCACATCATAGTTACATATCCACCTTGTTCCTCTGACGAATAGATGAGATATTTACATGATAGTTATAAATCCCACTTTGTTTGGTTTAATGTTATAGACATGATATTTAACAAGTTGCTTGATTTGTTTTCTATAAAAGCCGGACCATTAAAACCTTCAGTGGCAACCTATTTGGAACTCTTATCACTCTAGAGAGCTTTTTTTCCTTTCCTTTCTGAGCTCACCTTTCCTCAATAAACTTTCTCTTCATTTCAAACTTTTGGGTCCCCAAGATTCATTCTTCAGCTCCATGAGACAAGAACCTTGCAACCCTGCAACACCACCATCAAGGTAAAAGGTTCCACTTTCTCCACATCCTTGTAAACAACTGTTTTTGCTTTGGAAAAGGACAAATATATGGTCTCATTCATTTGGAGAATATAAAAATTAGTGAAAGGGAATAAAGGGAAAGGAGACAAAATGAGTGAAAATATCAGTGAGGGTGAGAAAACAGGAGAGACGCCTAACTCTGGGAAATGAACAAGGGGTAGTAGAAGGGGAAGTGGGTGGGGGGTTGGGGTGACTGGGTGATGGGCACTGAGGGGGGCACTTGGTGGGTGAGCACTGGGTGCTATGCTAAATGTTGGCAAGTTGAACTCCAATAAAAAATTAAAAAAAATAGATTCCAGGAAAAAACAAACAAACAAACAACAGCTGCTGCTTGTATTGTTGATTTTAGCCATTCTGACAGGTGTGAGGTGATACCTCATTGTAGTTTTGATTTGTAGCAAATGGGCATTATTAACAGAGTGACATGGTACAATTTATATTTTGCTCTCAAGAAAGCAATACATATGTTTGGTATAGATCTGATTCCATTTAAGAGAATCTACCGACATTGCTGATTAGGAATTTCTGTCCAACACTTATGTGCAGAGAGAAGACAGTATGAAAACACAGGGAGAAGGCAGCCATTTGCAAGCCAAGAATGAAGACCTCAGGAGAAGCCAACCCTGCTGATACCTTAATCTTAGATTTCTGGCCTCCAGAACAAAGAGGAAATAAATGTTGTTTAAGTAAAAAAAAAATAAAAATAATAACTTTTTTCTTTAAAAAAAATAAAGTCTTTTAACATAGAAAAAAAAAGGAATTTCTGTCCATTCAGCCTTTTTTCTAACAGGGCATGTATTATAGATTTAATGAAAATGCTTTCCTGTTTTTGAGGATTATATATTGAGTACTGACATCTGCTAGACAAAGAGTATAAAATGCTGAGAAAGAACAGTCCAGACAACCTTTGAATAAATAACTAGTACAATAATTTCTGGATTGAAGGCTAGTTCTTTTTTTTTTTAACTTTTGAAGAAACTCCATCCTGTTTTTCAGAGTAGCTGCAACAGTTTGTATTCCCACCAAGAGGGCAAACATTTCCCCTTTCTCTGCATCCTCAACACCTATTGATTCCTGTGTTTTTAATTTTAGCCATTCTGACTGGTGTGAGGTGATATCTAATTGTAGATTTAATTTGTGTTTCCCTGATGATGAGTGATGTTGAGCATCTTTTCATATGCCTGTTAGCCATCTGTATGTCTTCTTGGAAAGGTATCTATTTATGTCTTCTTCCTTTTTCATGACTGTATTATTTGGGGTTTTTTTTGGGGGAGGAGTTGAGTTTGATAAGTTTTTAAATAGATTTTGGATACTAACCTTGTATGAGATATGACATGTAAATATTCTGTAGGTTGCACTACTAGGTATTTACTGAAGGGATACAAAAATAGTAATTCAAAAGGGCACATGGACCCTGAAGTGTGCAGCAGCATTATCAATAATAGCCAAACTATGGAGAGAGCCCAAATGTCCACTAACTGATGAATGGGGAAAAAAGATGTGGTATATAAATAAAGTGGAGTATTACTCAGCCATCAAAATGTATGAAATCTTGCATTTGCAATCACACATATGGAGCTAGAATATATTATGCTAAGTGAAATAAGTCAGAGAGAGATAAATACCAAATGACTTCACTCACTCGTGGAATTTAAGAAAAATTTCAAATTTACATACTGTGGGAAAAAGAGAGGCAAACCAGGAACCCTTAACTATAGAGAACAAACTGAGGGTTGCCAGAGGGAAGTGAGTGGTGGAGGGATAAAATAGATGATGGGGATGAAGGAGGGCACCTGTGGTGATGAGCACAAGATATGGTATGGAACTGTAGAATCACTAAATTCTACACCAGAAATGAATATTGCACTGTATGTTAACTACCTGGAATTTAAATAAATGCTTGACAGGGAAAAAAAGTCCATACAATCCAAAGATGGAGAAGGAATATATACTTAAAAAGTAAAAAATCATAAATCATACACCATGTCAGAAGGTGACAGGTGCCATGAAGGAAAAAAAAAAGTTAGTATGAAAAGTAGTGGGTGAGAAGAGTGCTAACTTTTAATAGGAGTACAGGAAGACCTGCAAATAAGGTGACATTTTAACAGAGACTTCCAATAAGACTAAGCAAGAGGCAGGACGTTTCTGGGGAAGGTGTGTGTCCTGCAGGGAAAAAAAGAGCAAAGGTGCTGCAGAAGGCACTTACTTCAGATATGCAGATCTCAGAATGAAGTCAGTGTGGTGAGGGGATGAGCAAGAGGGAGAGAGATGAGAGGTGGTGGCAGAGAATAGTGAGGACTGAGGTGGCTTTCCTGCCACTGATGGGACTTCAAGACACAGGAAGCCTTTCCTTCACATGGTGTTCTTTGAATTTTATTGATTTTGCTCCAAGAAATTCTGTGAACAGAGATAGATCTGATTCTTATTTTCATCTTTTGGTTAACATTCTGCATTTAAGGGTCACATATTGGAGTATATGAGCTCAGGTACTATTGCCTGGAGGACTGCTCGTGCCCCTCAACACACACTGCACATAGTGCCCTATGCCCTTGTGGGATTGCATTACTATCATGCTTTTTTTTTTCTATCATGCTTTTTTTAAATATTTTATTTATTTATTCAAGACAGAGAGAGAGAAAGAGAGACAGAGACAGAGACGGAGACAGAGACACAGGAAGAAGGAGGCCCCATGCAGGGAGCCCAACATGGGACTCCATCCCAGGTCTCCAGGATCGCACCCCAGGCCGAAGGTAGCGTCAAACCGCTCAGCCGTTGGGGCTGCCCACTATAATGCTTTTTTCATTGCCAACCACAGTAGTTTTGAAAGAAAATGATAGAAGGCAAGCTGTCAACATCAGATTACCTTTGCCCTGATGAATGTGTAAATAGCACTTAAATTCTAGTTAGTAAGCCTTCCCTGGACATCTAAACAAGAGACCCCATTTTCATATGATCACCTTGCATATTGTATTTAAAAAAAGATAAAAAAGCAGTTCCAAAGCACAGAGAGGAACAAAATGGACACAGGTTTAAAGAGATTTATCTAATAAGCTCAAGTGGTCCCTAAGAGACTGTGATGAGCAAAAGCTTCTCTGGTTCTGGCAGCTTTCCAGTCCCAGTACATATACCCTGATGCCCAGAATAATTAACAAAGCAGGAAAAAACAATGTATCCAAACAAGAAAGAGTGACATCTTATGAGGTCAAGATAATTTACTGATTGAATATTCCTCTAGAAAAATGTACAAAGAAGGGATCCCTGGATGACTCAATGGTTTAGTGCCTGCCTTCAGCTCAGGGCATGGTCCTGGAGTCTTGGGATCAAGTCCCACGTCGGGCTCCCCACATTGAGCCTGCTTCTCCCTCTCCTTATGTCTCTGTCTCTCATGAATAAATAAATAAATAAATCTTTTTAAAAATGTGCAAAGGGAATAAACCTGCAATTTACAACAGAAAATATACAATGTACTATAATGGAAGAGGATTTTTTAAAGATGAAATAACGAAAGAATTTCCAAATGTTTTAAATGCAAAACTTTTGGAATCAGAAAACCAGGTTTTGAATGTCAGATCTATAACACATAGCTGTTTGAATTTGA